GAAGGAAGGTTGGGCAATCCTACTTCCGTAGTGATACTGCCTCGGAAACCCAAGGAGGGGTCGCTATGAGTCGGGGCCGACTTGACGGCACATAACAACAACAACAACAACAATGCACCCAGTATTTAGGTATTGGTGATATATGGAGAAAATAGTGAAATACATTAACTTAAAATTTCTGGAAAATATTTGCATCATGAAGAAAAAACTCAAATCATCACTTGTAATTTTTTATGTTGTTTAAATTTAAACTATTATAGATTAAAAGGTAAGCTCCATAAGGAAGAATTTAATTTTTGTTCATTGTTTCATCTCCAGAGCCTAAAATAATGCTACCCGGTACACAAACTTTTGTTTAGTGTCTTAATAAATATGTGGTTAATTTTTTTTTCAATATTAATCTGATCTTTTTTTATTTGTCCAGACAAATAAATGTTCAGACTGTTAGTGGGTGGGATGGTGTCTTCCCTGAAATATAGGACAGTGTCCTAATCTCTGGAATCTGAGAATGTGAAATTACTTAGGGGAAAAAAAAGGGTGTTTTCATATATAATGAAGGTAAAGATCTTGTGATGAGATCATCCTGGGTTATCTGTGGGCACTAAATCCAATGAGAAGTGTCCTTATAAGAAAAGGAGAAAGTGATGTGAAGATGAAGGCAGATATTAGAGTGATGTGGCTATACACCAAGGAATTCCTGAGAGAGGCAAGGAACGGATTCTCTCCTAGAGTCTCTGGAGGGATCATGGCTTTGCTGACACTCTGGTTTCAGACTTCTATTTCTGTTGTTTAAGCTACCCAGTTTGTGGTCACTTTTTACAGCAGTCACAGGAAAGTAATACAGATGCCCAACATTGGAATTTGAAGAAACATACACTCTTTTTAATTTTCTTCCTTCCTTCTGCCACAACCATCCAGTGTAGCATTCTAGAATGGGAGAGGTCAGTTGTATCATCCCCATATGTCCAACTGATGTATAACAGACTGTTAAAATATTCCACAGAAGTGATTTCTGGAGCCACTGGGGCTACAAGGAAGAAAGAGGCACAAGTTAGTATAATGGACTAAAAATAATAAAAATACTTACCAATGGAGCTTAAATCTCATATACAGTTAATTTAGAAAATTGAAATTCACATCCACATGATCATCCTGGGCCCTTTAGGACCTCTCAGCAACATACTGAAAGTTAATGGTACAAGTGGGGACTTGTTACATGGGACCACATCTCAGACACAAGTCAGCCAGATCCCTCTGTATCTGGAGATATCAAGAACTACTATGCAAATTTCACTATTACAAGGTTTTTTAAATGTTCACTTGTTTGGGAATTCCTGTTGTATCAATTAATATTTATAGGCATTGGTAAAGTTAAGCAATGTTAGAAACCTTGGGGTCTTAGCAAACATCTCTCATTGAAGTTCAACGAAGAAATTTATGGGAATAAAGGACACTTTTTGTTCTACGTGATTCCAATTCCTTTCTCTGGTATTTTGATATTAGCCTTCTAATAGGTATAGTTAGGAGCTCTGGTGGCATAGTGCCTAAGGCATTTGACAGCTAACTAGAAGGCTGGCAGTTCAAGCCCACCAGCCATTCCTCAGAAGGAAGATTGGGCAATCTACTTCTGTAGTGATACTGCCTCAGAAACCTAAGGAGGGGTCGCCATGAGTCAAATCAACTCGATGGCAGTGAGTTTGTTTATTTTTGTTTTTGGAGGTTAAAATGTTAGAAGGATGGAGCCACTATTAGTAGGACAGAAGATGAATGTTATTTCCAACAATAAAAATTAACAATGCTTAGCAAAATGCTTTTCAGAATGTAGGTTCTTAATACATGTTGCTGAAACAAGTAGGAAGTAAATGGCTTTTTTTTTTTTTTAATCATGTCATGAAATTAAATTTAACATTGAGTTTATTAATTTTTTTCATGTTATTATACAACTGAACCAAAAATTTGCTAATTGGGGAGAATTAACCACAGGCTTTATAAAACGTGCTCTTAAAGGGTGTTATTTTCTAAAGTTACTGATAATTCTGAAAGTTTTAAGAAACAAATCAACAAAACTCAACTCACTGCCATTGATTCGGAACCGACCCACAGCTACCCCTTCTTGGGTTTCCAAGGCAGTATCACTACCAAAGTAGATTGCTTAAGGCACTTGACTGCTACCAGAAGGCTGGTGGTTCAAACCCACCAGCCACTCATCGGAAGGAAAAAACAAATACACAGTTGAATTTAAAGTACTATTTTCAACCACCTCATATGCATGCAAAAGCTGGACAGTTGAATAAGGAAGACCAAAGAAGAATTGATGCCTTTGTATTATGGTATTGATGAAGAATGTGGCATATAGCACGGACTGCCAGAAGAAAGAACAAATCTGTCTTGGAGGATGTGCAGCCAGAATGCTCCTTAGAAGTGATCATAATGAGACTTCATCTCACATTCTTTGGACAGCTTGTCAAGAGAGACCAGTCCTTGGAGAAGGACATCCTGCTTGGTAAAATAGAAGGTCAGCAAAAAAGAGGAAGATGCTCAAAGAGATGGATTGACAACAGTGGCTGCAACAACGGGCTCAAGCACAGCAATGATGTGAGGGTGGTGCGGGACGGGGCATATTTTGCTGTTGTATATGGAGTCACTGTGAGTTGGAACAGACTCGATGACACCTAACAACAAGTTGGCATGAAAAGAAGCAAGTGTTCCATTCTGATACACCACACACAATCAACTAAAATATTTGGAGGAAAATTTCTTTAAATTATAAAAAATATGTTCTTTAATATATTGCTAAAATTCATAACAAAGATTCATGGCAAACTGATTTAAAGGACAATTATTTACTGTAATACATAAGTAAAAAACACATTTCTGTTTTATGTAAAATAGGAATAGCATTTCTAGTGTCTGACAAAATCTTGAAATATAAACAATGCACCTAGCAAGTTAATAGAAATTCATTTCATGTTTCAGAATATTCTAATAAAGGAAAATAACCTTGGGTTCTTAATCGGTTTCATTTATCATATAAAATGTGTATGCATATACATATATATGTATGCATTTTTCTTCAAATGATATTTTCTCACCATATTTAAATTCTAGTGAGAACATTTTTAAAGATGCAAATGCACAGGGACTGTTGTTGTTGTTGTTAAGTGCCATCGACTTGTTTCCGACTCATAGCAACCCCATGCACAGCAGAACCAAACACTGCCCGATCCCGCGCCAGCCCCACAATCCCTGCTATACTTGAGCCCATCATCGCAGCCACC